GTGGGTTGTGCACACCCAGGAAGCAGGATGTGAGGGCAGGGCCAGGCCCAGGGGGCTCCTGAGGTCCAGAGAAGGCACTATGTTGGTCTGGATGAAAAAGATCAGGAAGCATTATTGGTTCCCCAGGTGTCTAGGGCCCCAAGACAAGGAATGGGGCAGGGCCCAAACTAGGAGGAGAGAACAGCAGGGGAGATGGGGGGGTGAATGGGGCTTGGGGAGTCAAGGTGCGGAGGGCGCAATGGACTTACCCTGGAGAGAGGCCTGCAGGTAGGAGAGAGGCCTGCGGTGGTCCTCCCAGCCACCTTTTTTTGTGTGGACAAGTTGTCCTTTAACAGCATTAGGTCACTGGATAGCTAATATTCCCACCCCAGATCCATTCTGGCTCTCTGAGATATAAGTGTGTGGTTAACCACTCTCTACTGAAAAGGAGCTCGAAGTGACCTGCAAGAAGACCCATGGGCCCTTGGCAGAAGGGAAAGTCTGATCACTTAGACATGGAGCCAGGAACACCATAAGCCACCTCTGCAGATAACAGTGAAGGACTACAGCCTCCAGGACTTGGAGGACTGCCCTGCTGGGGGAAGGTATGACCTTCAAAGCAACCCCCCATCCTAAATCTGCAAATTCCCTAAATGTGTTTATGTCCCCCAAATCAACACCATTGTGCTTTGATTCAAGGTCATGCTATTATAAGTTGCGGACATGTAGGTTCCTGCTGCTTGTGTCTGCTCCTCCTCTGTCTCTGCAGTGTCTCTGCAGTCTTTTTTGAGACAGAATCTCCCTGTAGCCCCAGCTGGCCTGGAAGAGAGATCTGTCTGCCTCTGCCTCCTGAGTGTGCATGCTACCATACCTGGCCCTCCCATGATATTCTTACAGAGAAAAGACAAGTGTTAGAGAAAGTTCATTTGGTGTGAGTGCCAACACTGTGGGTCCACAGAAGAAGGTAATGAATTACACTCTATGTTAAATTGTAAACAAGGTGTCTGTAAGTAGAAACACATAGGAAACAAGGTTATTTGTCAATCAAGTACCAGAGCTGACCAGGCTGGCAGAACCCAACTACCCCAAGAGCAGTGGTGCAGCACTCCCTTCAGGGTCTGCAGTGATCTGTCTGTATTAGTTACTTTTCTGCTGCTGTGACAAAAATTATGACCAAGGCAACTTATAGAAGAATTTATTGGGTTTAAGGTTCCAGAGGGATTAAGAGTCCATTATGGTAGGAAGGGATGGCAAGAGGCAATCAGCAGCACAGAACATAAAGCTCAGTGCTCACGTCTTCAATCAGGCACAGGAAGCAGAGAGAACAAACCTGGAAATGAGCACAGCTAAAGCCCACCCCCAGTGAATGCTTCCTCCAGCAGGGCCACACCTAAACCTCCCAAAACAGAGTCACCAACTGTGAACAAAGTGCTCCAATACTTGGAGCCTATGAAGAACAGTCTCATTCAAACCACCACACTGTCTGTGTTGGTCTTTAGGACCAGAACTACCATAGGTAATAAGCACCAGCTGCAAGTTACCTGAGGACCCTGCAAAGCATCTAAAAAGCTCCTACAAGCCAATGAGAACAGAAGATCCAGCAGAAAACAGCAATATGTGTGAGGGTCTCACCACAGAGCCAGAACTGGCAGGAACTGTTATGGATGAAGCCCCTCTGCCATCAGATATAGCCCTGTAATCTGACCAGAGGGAATGGAATGCAAACTGGAGAGTCCAGAGCCCACAGAGTGTGCAACAGAGGAAGTCTCCCACAGAACCAGTAGGAGTATCCATTTTAATTTCTGTGTGGATGTCAGGAAAATGGTTTAGCATTATTTCCTGAAGTGAATGTGATGTGCTGTGCCATCTCATGTACCACTCCAGCCATGAGGGTATCTAGGCATGGGGCATGTAGGCACATGGACAGAATGTTCATGAAGCACTATTCATAAAAGTCAAAATTTGGTGGTAAACCTGAGTCCATTGGCAGTAGAATAAACAAGAGTATACACAGTACCTACAGTAAGATGCACACTTACTACACAATTTAATTTGCAGAAAAAGTTAAAAAGCTCCATGGAACCCACCAGCAAAACAAGAGGAAAAAGCCAACAGTACAACACGCTGGTTCCATTGCTGCTAGTTCATGAAGGCAGTGTAGCCAACCAGGCTGTTCTAGGGCAGTCATAACCAGACAACACAGAGTGGGGCTTAATCCACAGAAATGTATCGTCTCACATTTCTGGAGGCTGGAGGATCAAGGTACTAGGGGCCCGTTCCTTCTGAGGCTGTGAGGGAGAACTTGTCCAGCCCCTCCCCATCCCAGCTCCTGGATTGCTGGAAACCCCTGGTGTTGCTTGGCATCACCCTGACCTCTGCCTCCATATGGTGTTCTCCCTATTGTTTGTGTCCAAATTTTCCCTTCTTATAATGACCCCAGTCCTGTTGGAACAGGGCCACCACAATGACCTCATTTTAACTTGATTTTCTCTGTAAAGCCCCCATCTCTACCTCATATTTTACAGCACTGAGGGTTAGAAATCCAATATATGGTCACAGGGGTTACAATTTCACCATAATGGTACAGGGTAGTTTCCTCAGGGAGCAGAATCTGACCATGCCAGGAACTGATTCTAGACCTGCAGCCTCCAGAACTGAAGGCCTGCTGTTTAAATTGCCCAGTAAATAGAATTGTGTTATGAAGTCTGAGCTAAGACAGTAATGAATACGATGAGAGAGACAAATGCTCAGACCAGTGGCGCCAAGAGTCTTAAGGAGCCTGCGCAAGGAAGACTGACCACCCAAAGTTGTCATAGATGCTGGAAGAGGCAGAACCCAGGGGTGGATGCTGTTTTCAGGCAGATGTCTAAAGTGTTAAGACATCTTCCACAACAAGCTGCTCAGTGTTCTGGAAGACATTCTAGTGAATTCTAGGTTCAAGATGGAAGTATTATTAATTTTGCTGGATCAGAAAATAGAGTTCTGCAGGAATGGCCAAATGTAGGTTTTCCTCTTCAAGATGGCTCCCATGCACTCCACTTTCTACTGAGTGGAGAAAAGAAAATCCTTGAATACTGCCCCTCTGTGCTGGATAGCTTTGGTGTCAACTTGACACACCTGGGTTGAGGGAGCCTCAATTGGGGAATTTCCTCTATTGGACTGGCCTGTGGCTATGTCTGAAGGGCATCTTCTAAATGAGTGATGTGGGAGGGCCCAGCCCACTGTGGGTGGTGCCACCCCTGGGCAGGTGGGCCTGTGTTACATAAGAAAGCAGGCTGAGCAGGGGCCAGGGAGCAAGCCAGTAAGCAGCGTTCCTCCATGGCCTGTGCTCCAGCTCCTGCCTCCATGTTCCTGCCCTGAGTTCCTACCTTAGGCTCCCTGATGAACTGTAACCTGGGAGATGTAAGTTGAATAAAACTTTTCCTCCCCAAGTTGGTATTGGTCAGAATGTTTTTTCACAGCAATGAAGAAACAGACTAGGACACCCTCCTTAGATGTTGGCTGCAGTATGTGAGTGGACTTCAGTGAACCTCTACCTCTTTCTGGTCTCTATGGATGGAGCTCTGGCTGAGGGCAGGTCTAGGCTGTGATCTGGTTGAAGCCAGAGGCAGGTGCTGAGAAGGGTGGAGACTCATGGTCCTCCCACTAGCCAGCTAGTGGGGTCCAAAAGAGTCTGAGGGCAGCACTGTGGGGATGCTGAACTGAAAAATCCCTGGGAAAAGGGTGTCTTTTCTTTTTCTTGAGCTCTCTCTGTTAGCCAAGCATCTGCACCGGCTGTTTCCTTGCCTGGATGCATTTCCTGAATCCTGATCACTTGATCCAGTCTCCTCCATCCATAGGCCAGTGGCTACTCTTGGCTTGTTCATACTTCAGTCTGTGGTCTATCTGCCTCAGAAGCGGCTTCAGGAGAGCAGGCTGCATCCCCAGCAACCTGGGCCTGCCCACAGCTGATGCTTCAGTGGGGAGTGAGTCTTACAGTGATGGAGAACCAAGTCTCTCCCCATTTCCCAGTCCTGGACCACCATCTTCCTGGGTACAAGCCAGTCACCTTGAGCAAGACCCTCCAAGATCAGGCTTCCCTCTCAGAGCTTCTAGTATCTTCCCAGGCTTCTTTTCTTCAGTGGCCCTGCCCTGGGGATGTTATCTTCCCCTTTACGGTTCCCCTGCCAGTATTTCCTTACCCCTAGACCTTCTCTGCTGTACTGGGCCTGCAGGTCACTACTGTGGCCAGTAGGGGCCTGGCTTCTAGGAGCTCTTTGGACCACCATGCCAATAGGGTCTTCCCAACTCCAACCAAGGGCAGGCCCAACAGAAGCAGAAGCAGAGTGATTGCAACCCCCAAAGTCACAGGCACCATCTGGACAAGACAGTCATGGTTACTGTGCTCCTTCCCCCAGTGCAGGTCCTCAAAGACCTGGGAATGCACTGGGGGAGAGTACTGGCCAAGCGGTAAGAACTACACGAGGTCTAGCTGAAGAACCCAACTAGCTGTGAGTGTTCCCATACAGGTTCTCCCCCGCTTAGCTGCGGGACCCGCTACCCCATACCCATGGAATAGCGCATACCCTGCTTCCAAGGGACGGTAGGGGTCCAGGGCAGCCCCGATGCAAACTCCACCCCTCTCTTGCTCTTCTCCCCATTCTGGACGCCTGGGGGGTCCCTTGGCTTGGCCCAACGACCCACCCGGGCAGTGCCACTTCTCGCAGAGATCCAAGTCTCAAGTGTGAGGGGTTCGTCTGTGCTACCCCAGTCTCAACATCATAGGAGCAAAGGCCTCGTTCCAGTGTCCAAGACCGTCCGTGGGGAAATCCGGTCCATTCCCTGGCTTGCCCCTGGCGTTGGCGGTCAGATCCTACGCACGCAGCCATCCCGCCCCTCCGCGTGGTGAAGCTCTGATCCAGACTCCGGACCCCACGCCCCCGAAGGCGAACCCCCAAAGGCCCCTCCTCCTCCCGCAGCACCGCCCCTCGCGAGCCCCGGCCAGGCGCTGCATTCGGGCTCCTCCCCCTGGAGCCTGCGCAGCGGGCCGAGCGGGCGGAAGGCAGTCCCGGTGCCGCTGCGGGCCCTGTTCCCTGGCGTGGACCCGGCTTCGGCGCGCTGCCCGGGCTCGGGCGCTTGGGTCGGGGATGGCGGCGGCAGCCGAGCCCGGGACCCAGGCCTTACCGGGCAGCGGCGCCCCACGTCTCGGCAGTCCAGCCCACAGCCCGGTGCCGGGCACCGGCGGCCGTGCACGCCCGGCGTCAGGGCCCGAGCGGACGGGCAGAACCACCGGTCCCGCGGTGCCGGGCCACAGCTTCCGCAAGGTGACGCTCACCAAGCCCACCTTCTGCCACCTCTGCTCCGACTTCATCTGGGGGCTGGCCGGCTTCCTGTGCGACGGTGAGAACCCGCCCCGCGTCCTGAGGCCGCTCCCGGGAGCTCCTGCCGCCCGCCACGGGACACGGCCCTGACCTTTGAGCTCTGTCCTTCCCGGCAGTGGCCTTGGGAACAGGCCCTCGTCCGAGTAGGACCTCCCCGTGGAGGTGGGGAAGAGGGGTGTCCCACGGCTGGCCCTCCTGGCCTGGGATCTCCTGGGTCCCTCGTGGGAGGTGGAGGCCATGTCGCCACAGTGAATACTATGGTTGGGATGCTGCAAGAGGCCGAGTGTGTGTTCAGGTAGTTACTGGGTCTGGGCTTAGAGATACGAAGGTCGGACTGAGACTGAGCCCTGAGGTGGTATGGCTCAGGGTCCCCATGCCTGCCTTTCTCAGTAGCCGGGGCAGCAGGAAGGGACAAGCAGGGCAGGCCTGGTCTGTGGGTCCGGGTCATTCTTGTCCTGAGCGCATGCTGCTGCACAGAGGGACTGAATGCTGACTCTGCCCAGGCCCAAGTGCGTGGGGAGGTAGGCCCAGCCTTCCTTCTAGGTGTGGCATGTCTCAACACAGCCCTCACCTAGTTGCCAAGCCGGCTGGGCTGGGCAGAGGATGGTGCTCCTTCGTCTGCCTCCCTGGTAAATCTACAGCTGGCCCTTTTCTTGTCCATCTTGTGAGGAGGCAGGTACTGAGACCAACACGTGCACTCTGTAGTGGATGTGGGCCTTTGACAGTGTGTCTTGGCCAGGAACTGAAGATAGGACCAGCTGAGGAGTCTCTGCTCTGTTCAGGAAGACAGGCTTGTGTTCTGGGCAGGACCACTGACGGCAAGGCCCCTCAGACTGGGGTCCCTTCTGCTTACTGGGATAATGAGGTCGTCATGACTCTTCAGGGCCTGCTGGCATAGGAGTGGTCACCGGGGTTTCTCTGTCGTATCAGAAATATTAGTCTGCCCCACCTGCCCTCTGGTAATATCAGAGTTCTGTTGATGTGGAGGCCCTGAATGTGGTGAGTGAGTTAGCTACAGGTCTGAAGCTAGACCCCGTGACCATACAAAGGTGGGATAGACAGGGCTTCAGATAGAAGGCTCCTCCCCTGATTCAAGGCACAAGAAAGCAGAACTCCAAGTCTGAGTCTTACCTCTCTGGAGGTAAAGACAGTGATGGTAGAGCTACAGATCCGAGGATAGACCTAGGATCCCTGTAGAACTGAGGAATATGAAGGTAAGGACTTGAAATCTAAGGCTAGGCTTCAGTTACCCCTCGCAGATATGGTCCCTGGGGCTCTAGGTCTGTTGGTTCAGGAAGCCTAAGCACAATCCTTGGACATAGCAGTCCATGAAATCTAGTCTGCAGGTGAGGATGCAGCACCACTACTAGGCAGCATCTATGAGGAATGGGCTGGGACTCCAGCAGATAGCCTGGCAAGGGTGTGGGCAGAGGCCCTCCCCTTGTAAGAGTACATAAGGTATGGGGTGAGCAGGCATTGCCTCTACCCACAGAGGAGGCAGCTGGCAACACCCAAGGTGGAGTGCATTGGGTGTCTAAGGGAGAACTCCTGTTGGGTCACAACTTTCTTTCTCATCTGCTTTTCTTACCAGACTCTAGCCTCCTTCCAGTAGTTATCTCTAGAGCAACCCATGGAAAACCTGTTCCCTTCTAGGACTGAGGTGGTTGGGGTCTCAGCAGGAAGGAGGTACCAGCTGGGGGCCCCCTGCTTAGGCTCTTGTACCTTGGACTGTCTTAGTGGTTATGTCCCTCTGCTTCTGTAGTTTTGTCCACTTATCCCACCTGTGAAGCCCAGCCTAGGCCCATGACTCTCTTGTCCAGTCTTGGCTCTGATGTACTACCACAGACTGCTTGCTTTTCTATGCATCTCCAAGTCTGTCTTGCTGTTGAGCCTTTGTGCTGAGGCCTGGGAGCAGGTTGTGTCCTTCCCCTACCTGTTTCCCCCACTCCCAACCAAATGTGAGTCACATGTCCTAGGTCCCTCCCACAGTGATTCAAGTGCACACTGCCTTTGCAGGCTCAGCTCTCTGCTCTCTGGTGGTTGTAGGGATATGGGAGAGTTGGGTCAGTGTGAAGGGTATAAGCTACTCCCAGTACAGCAGGGCACACTTATCACCCCCCATCATGGTCATAGTATCAGACCCCTGGGCTCTTGAGGATGAGCATGGGGCTTATAGTGCCCATGGTCTTGTTGCCTGCCTTGATAACAGTGGGGATGACAGGAATGGCAACCCTGCCCACTAAGTGGCAAAGGTTGGGGTGCCACAATGACTGACTCAGCCCAAGAACTGTCCCCATCAGCTCTGGCAGAGTGACCCTGCTATGATGTGCTCTGAGCCCTGTTGTGGAATGCAGATGTCCAGTGGTCCTTGGTCCTGCTGGCCAAGGCTAAGCCTTAGGACCTCTCACCTCCTGGACCAGCCAGAGGCTGCCTGGCAAGATGGGACTCACTCACACAGCTCTCCTCCCTGCAGTTTGCAACTTCATGGCCCATGAGAAGTGCCTGAAGCAGGTGAAGACCCCATGCACAAGCATCGCGCCCAGCCTAGTGCGGGTGAGTGTGGGGTCAGTGCACATGGCTCTCATAGGATCAAGTACTCACTCAAGCTGTCCTTTGTATTGTCAGTTTAGCCATACTATGATTAGGAAGCAAAGAGCAGAGTCCTGCTCTTGATCAAAAGGAAGGATCTGTTGATGAGCTGAGCACCCTTGGTAGATCTCCAGGGAACTATGCTGAGAAAAGTCAATGTCAGAAGACACATACTGTATGATTAGTCCATGGAAAACCCTGAATGAAGAAACCAGAGGAACACAGATAGGAGGGTTCAAGGGTAAGGAAGTAGATGTAGCTACAGATGGCCCAAATTGGCCAGGTGTGGTGATGCATAACTTTAATTCCAGCACTCAGGTGGCAGAGACAGGCAAATGTGTGTGAGTTCAAGGCCAGCCTAGTCTTCATAGCAAGTTCCAGGCCAGCTAGGGCTACAGGGGACCCTGTCTCAAAAAGACAAATAAACAAAAGGGCCAAATGAAGGGTCCTGGAGGCTGGATGTTCTGCCTCATCTGCTCTGCTCTTAGTGCCCTGGCTGTGACATTGACTAGTTTTGCAAGCTGTCACCACTGGAAACTGGGTAAAGAGCACGGGGGACCTCTGGATTCTTTCTCACAAATGCACACCAACCTTTAGAGATCATAACAAGCTTATAGAAAAACAGGAGGGGCTGGAGAGATGACTCAGCGGTTAAGAGCACTGACTTGCTCTTGCAGAGGACCCAGGTTCGATTCCCAGCACCCATGTGGCAGCTATGAACCGTCTTTAACTTCAGTTCCAGGGGAATCCGAAGCCCTCTTCTGATCTCTGCGGCATTGCACGACACAGGTGCACTCACATGCAGGCAATACACTCATACACATAAAAACAATTATATATATATATATATATATATGGATTTTTTTTTTTTAAAGCACACAGTTCAGAGCCTTAGAACTGGAGTAGGTTTTGGCCATTGACCTCCCTTTACATGGCTCTGGTTAGGGTAGTGAGGTTCCTGCAGGGCAGATTTCCCTTCTGTGAGTAATGGCAGCAGTGACAGCAGGATTAAGGAAAAGCTTACAATGGTGAGAACTTTCTGTTCATCAGTTGTCCGCCTCACCTGCATACTGTGGTTCCCCATCATACCCCCATTCACTTCCCTACTCTCCTCCATAGCTGGGGGTGGGACCCGCCTGCTAGTGTAGGCAAATAGAGCTCAGAGCAGCAGAGCTGTGTGTGAGCTGGCCTTCTGCATGCAGGAGATGAGAAGTGAGGCCAGTATGCTCACCTACTGCTGAACCATGCATGTCTAGCTGTGTTGACTGCCCTGCAGCATTTGATGCTGTGGTGGGGGACTTGATTACAGGTGTGGATGTAAAAGGATCTAAGGATGCTGGTGCATGAGGCTATTGTTTTCTAAAGATGATCTTAATCCTTTCTCCTTTTTTACTTAAACATGAAAATACAAGTAATGATTTCAAATATATGCCTGATCAAGGGTCAGTGGATATAGATCCTTAAAAAGAAAATAAAAATGATCTGCCATTCTGACATGCCCACCATTGCCCTCCTAGTGTTCAGTCTTTCTATATATTCTCTTTATTGAACTGCTTTAAGTCTCAGGATGAGGACAAATCAATTGAAGACCCGATCCTTCCCATCTACTCTCATGGGAAGGCAACTTGCCATCACGTGTTCACAGTAGCTGTGATTGCCTCCCAGAGGGCAGATGTAGAGTGTGTGTGGTGGTGGGGGGGGTGTCTTGGGGGTAGCGGATGTTAGAAGCTCCTGATTCTGACAGGACAAATGCCTAGCAGTTAACAGCCTAGCTGGCCTGTGGAGGGAGGAATGGGTGGCAAGTGGGCTTCCTTCACCTGTGTTTATAGTACTGTGAGTATGAAGTTACAGAGCCCTTTCCCTGCTTACCTGCCTTACAGTCAGCCAGGCTAGTCCAGTCTAGGTCTTCTGGTAGCACAGGTGAATCAGGGGTGGGCACTCCCCAGCAGGATCTGACCTGCAGACTTAAGAGGTGAAGAGGAAGGAGCGACCTTCTGCCTGAGCAGCCACCAGCAGGTGATGCTGGACCAGTCCAAGAAGGGCCGTTAGGGATGAGGGTGCAGGGTCAAGCAGGCCCAAGTCTGAAGCTTGCTCTGCCCCTGCAGGTCCCTGTAGCCCACTGCTTTGGCCCCCTTGGGCTCTACAAGCGCAAGTTCTGCGTGGTCTGCCGTAAAGGCCTGGAGGCACCTGCACTCCGCTGTGAAGGTACCACTGGGCCTGTGGCCCTCTTGGGCTTGAGTTCCTCACCCAAGGGACCTGGTCTCTGTTGCCCAGGGTAGTCTAGCTTTCCTCTACCTGTGGTTTGTCAGGGGTGTGGATGGGAGATGCAGGCTTACTTGGGGGCTCCAACTGCAGGGGCCTACCAGGCAGGAAGCAATCAGGCTAAGAAGAAGCTGGTTCAGGATGGCAGGGGTTGGGGTTGGAACCAGCCCAGCTGAGAGATGGGTGAGGAGGGAGGGCAGGGGTGCAGCAAGAGGCCCCTAACCCTGCCCACCCCCCAGTGTGTGAGCTGCACGTTCACCCCGACTGTGTGCCCTTCGCCTGCAGCGACTGCCGTCAGTGCCATCAGGATGGACACCAGGACCATGTGAGTGTGCAGGTGTTGGGACACAAGCAGGTTTGGTGGGGGTAGGCTGGCTGAGCTGCTGACTGCCCCCCTCCCCAGGACACGTACCACCACCACTGGCGGGAGGGGAACCTTCCTTCTGGTGCACGCTGTGAGGTCTGTAGGAAGACTTGCGGTTCCTCAGATGTGCTGGCTGGTGTGCACTGCGAGTGGTGTGGTGTCCAGGTGGGCATGGGGATGGGATGAGAGGTGGGGCCCTGGGTGTGGGACAAGAGAGATGCAGCAGTCAGGTGGGGGTGGGCCCTCTGACAGGGTTTTCAGGTTGTGTGCATCTTGTCATTTCCTGGGCTATGGGGTGGAGTGATACCTCTGGCTTTGTGCACCATCCTGGTGGGTGCTCAGCCTGGTGTAGGCAGAGTTTGCTGGCTTCCTGCCCAGGTCACCAGAGTTACACCCATGTTCCCCCAGGCCCACTCAGTGTGCTCCACAGCATTGGCACCTGAGTGCACATTTGGACGTTTACGCTCCATGGTCCTGCCTCCTGCATGTGTGCGCCTGTTGTCACGAAACTTCAGCAAGATGCACTGCTTTCGAATACCTGAGACCTTGACCTTGGAGCTTGGTGAGGCAGAGAGGTGGGCCTAGGGTGTGTCCTGGCTGGGTCAGGCACTGAGTAGAAGGACCTATGCATCCTACAGGTGATGGGGATGATGGCCTAGATGGAAGTGCTGCCACAGGCACAGGCAGAGAGGTGCTGACAGTTGCAGAATCCAGTAAGTTGCCCCTACCTAGCCACCTTGTTCCATTCAATCCCAGATCTCTCAGATTCTCAGCTGCTCCCCTCTGGCCCAGGCAAACAGATCCTGAAGATCTTTGATGGCAATGACTCCATGAGGAAAAACCAGTTCCGTCTGGTTACAGTTTCTCGTCTGGCCAGGAATGAGGAGGTGATGGTAAGAATGAACTCACAGAGGGCTGGGGCATCTATGAGGCCCAATGTCACCATTTCTGGGCCCCCTGTTCTCCTGGCCCTTCACACCTAGCCTCTCACCTGGCTTCCCCATACTTTCCTCCTTTACCTACCTGTCTCTTACCTGCCCCTCTATACCTGGCCCCATGTTCTATAGGAGGCAGCACTGCGGGCCTACTATGTCAGTGATGACCCTAGCGACTTCGAGTTACAGGCTGGTGATACTCCGGTCCTAGAGAAGGCTGCAACAAATGAGGAAGAGGCCAGCAAAGGCTCTGGGCCCCGAGACTCTGTGCCTGAGGCCTGGGTCATCAGGTCTCTGCCTCGTTCCCAGGAAGTCCTGAAAATCTACCCTGGTTGGCTCAAGTGAGACTCAAAGCACAGCATCTGTTGGGGAAGGGGGTGGTTGGGGACCCAAGGCCCCAGCTTTGAGCCTGTCCCCTACAGGGTGGGTGTGGCCTACGTGTCTATCCGTGTGACCCCACAAAGCACAGCACAAGCTGTGATTCGAGAAGTCCTCCCGCTGCTTGGACGCCAGGTATGTACACTCTAGTCCTGCCCATCTTTGAAATCACCTACCCAATGGGCCAGACCACTGTCCCTCTGGGTGTCCTGGATAGATGAGAGTTTATCCCTAGGCCTGACATTCCACCCCTGCTGCATAGGCTGAGAATCTGGAGAGCTTCCAGCTGGTTGAAGTGCTCATGGGCAGTAGGCAAGGTGAGTGGGTTGCGTTCTGTAGGCCCTTGCATGTAGCAGGCATGGACTTGCTGCCTTGGGAGGCCCACCAGGACACTGGGGCCAGACGCTGCCCTTCTGACAAGTCCCACCTGGTTCCACCTGCATCCCCACGTGCCCCAGGGACTCAGAGCACCTGTTTGTGGAGGGGAGGAGCCCAGTGCTGACAGACTGTGCCTCTCAACCCTGTAGTCCAGCGGACAGTGCTGGCAGATGAGGAACTTCTGCTTGACCGGCTTCGGGACATCCGGCAGGTCAGTGGATGTGGACAACAGCTCCAAGGGAGCTGCCAGCCCTTAGCCATGGCTACCCAGGTTGCCCACTCACCTACCCACCTCAGAGGGGGATCTGTCTCCAGATACTGTATCTTCCCTAGTCGGCAGATGATGTCCCTAGCTGGCAGTACCCTCCACAACATGTCACCTGTCTCCAGCTTGGGGGCTGGCCTTGAGCCTTAACAGTACCCAAGTCAGTTCACTGCAGAACTAGGTAGGAAGGGTGGAGGGGCTTTACTGACACTGCTGGCCAGTATCCCTCATTCCTGCTCTCTCTCTATAGATATCTGTGCGCCAGGTGAGCCAGACGCGGTTCTACGTGGCTGAGAGCAGGGCCATGGCCCCACGTGTCTCCCTATTTGTGGGCGGTCTGCCACCTGGCCTGTCCCCCCAGGATTACAGCAACCTACTGCATGAGGCCATGGCCACAAAAGGTGTGACCTTGGGCTAGCCAGGGCTCCGACTGGGAGAGGGTCCTGACTGGGCATTGGGGCTGTGGTGCCAGGCCTGCCTTTTCATGTACCAGCTGAAGCCCAAGTATAGTTCCCACTGCAAACCAGCTGATGTTATCTCCTCTGAAGGGCCTCTGCTCCCTCCTCTTCTCCCTCAAAGTACTTGGTTTCTATTCCCTCTGGAATTCAGGTGTTAGGGATCTTGTTCTGGAGTAGGGCATGGGCTGGCCCCAAAGACTAGGTCAGGACTGTCTGGATGTACCCTGGATGTGGATGCCCTCAGGGGGAGGCTGGCCCCTGATGGGGAGGTCAGGTCTGGGCCTCAGCATACCACCCTGACTGCAACCTGTCTATGCAGCTGCTGTGGTGTCTGTGAGTCACGTCTACTCCTTACAAGGTGAGCTGCTGCCTAATGAATATTACTGTAACGGGGTGGAAGAGCTTGCCCTTCATTCGCTCCTCTAGAGCCACATGCTAGGAATCCTCTCTGGTTTTGTTTCCTGGTTCACATTTTGTTATGGTGTGGCTGAGGCTAGCTGTTTTCTCCAAACCTGGTCATTTCTATGGGCCTACATCTTCCACCGGGGAAGGTTTCAATATGCACTGCCATTCTTCTTTGCATGGACACCCAGAGACCATGTAGTGCTAGTGGGCTTGGGCTTGGGTATGAGAATGTCTGTCAGGATGATGATCCCCATTGCCTACTGCTGGATCCTGACCCCTACCTTCCTCCCTTGGAAGTACTTCTCCGGAAAGGTGACCCCTCAGTGTGGATGGTACCTTTGGTGCACTGACCTGAGCTTCTTGTGGTCAGAGTTAGGGCTGGCACTGGTGGATAAAGTCCTGTCCTAGGTACCCTCATGGGCCTGGTGCATAGGAGAGGCTTTGCTTGGACACCCTGGGGGTGAGTTGTACAGGACAGACCCTGCTCCAAGTGCCTTTTGGGTGGAGTAGATGGGATAATACCTTTCCCTGGGCACCCTTGGTATAGGAAACATAGGACAGACCCCTGCCTGGGTTCATTGTGGGTAGGATGCGTAGGACACCTCCAACCTTGAACTTTGACCCACCTGTGGCAGGTGCAGTAGTGCTGGATGTTACCTGCTTTGCAGAAGCTGAGAGGCTATACATGCTGGCCAGGGACACAGCAGTGCATGGTCGGCCACTGACTGCACTGGTGCTTCCAGACGTGCTGGTGAGTGGTTAGGGTTCTAAGGCCAGCTTAATGCCGCAGAGCATGTCCTCATTGCCAGATGGCTGATAGGAGCCACGGTCATACCTTACAACATCCCAGAATGAACAGGCTGACCAATTTACACCAAAGGATCAGAGGTCAGAGAGTCAGTCCTTGTCCAGGACCGCCCAGAAGGTGAGACCTGATGCTTGGGACCAGGACTGGCTGCATACTCTGGACCACAAGCCACTAACCTATTGGGAACATCACAGGACACAGCTCCCTGTTGCATGGAATGCATGGGGTCCCCACCATGTCTACCTCATTGAAGACCAGGGTGTTCCAACACCCTGCCTTGTCCTCTCTGAGTATGATGCTGGCCCCCCCTCTTATCCAGGTCACCTTATGCCTAGGGTCATCTCTTGAGAGTAGGTAGAACTCCCTAACTTCAGATACTACCCTTACAACCCGGTAATGCCAGGAACAGGTGTACCCAGAGGACGGCACAAGGCAGGGAATGCATGTGTGGAGTGCCAGAAGGCTTTTAGTGTGGGCCCCACAAAGCCACTACAAATGTCCATGGCTGCCTGTCCCCTGAAACTCTGATCCTTGACCTCAGAATCAAGTCCATGAGAAGCAGACTTAAAGAAGAATGAGTTGAGGAGCCTATGGCAAGGAAAGGTGATGGCTACCAGTCCTTGCCACTGCTAATGTGGTCCTTCCCTGGAAATAGCTGTTCCCAGTGTCTGAGGGTATAGGTCAGGGCTTCCTGTCTGTCTACCCTGGTCCTGGCCTCACTCACTGTGACAAAGCTGGATGTGAGACCAATATCTACTTTGCCTGTCAGCTGCTCACCCTGTGGCAGGTGGTTAAGTGGTGAGATCAGGCAGCTCTGCCTGCCCAGTGGATCCTGTGGCTTGAATGTGTTCTTTCTTCAGCCCCTGTGCTGCTTCCCTCCGTGTCTGTACCTGACCTGTTTGTTTCTTGTCACCTACCCAATATAGGCGCCTGAACCAGCCTACTATGTCTGTATTCCCAAGCACTGATTCTTGGGGTTGTATATGGAGAGAATGATTTTTTTTTTTTTTTTTTTTTGGTCTTTTTGAGACAGGGTCTCCCTGTAGCCCCAGCTGTCCTGGAGCTCACTATGTAGACCAGGTTGGCCTTGAACTCACAGAGATCTGCCTGCCTCTGCCTCTCAAGTGTTGGGATTAAAGGCATGTGCCACCACATCTGGCGAGAATGATTTTTTAAAAATATTTTATTTTTATTTTATGTGAATGAGTGTATTGCTTGCATGTATGTGAGTGCACCTGTGTCATGCAGTGCCACGGTGCTCAGAAGAGGGTTTTGGATTCCCCTGGAACTGGAGTTAAGGACAGTTCATAGCTGTCATGTGGGTGCTGGGAATCAAACCCTGGTCCTCTGCAAGAGCAGTCAGTGCTCTTAACCGCTGAACCATCTCTCTAGCCCCAAGAATGATTTTTTTTAAGATATTTTATTATTTTTATTTTATGTGTATGTGTGTATTGCCTGCATGTAGGTAAGTGCACCTGTGTTGTGCAATGCTCAAGGAGGACAGAAGAGACTGTCAGAGCCCCTGGAACTGGAGTTATAGACAGTTGTTAGCTTCCATGGGGGCTGGGATTCGAACCTGGGTCTTCTGTAAGAACAGTCAATATTCTTAACTGCTAAGCCATCTCTCCAGCCCCGGGGAGAATGATTTTTGTCCCATATTCAGCAGGGGATATGTAGCTGCCTTGTAAGCTGAGTTGTCTGGTTGCTATGTGGCAGGTGGGACCTCGAAGCTGCTGACCTCCAAAGGGTGTCTAAGTGGCTTTGCAAGGGCCAGGCCTCAGTTCAGCTGGCTGGTGGTGCCAGGCAGGATCTGTGGGCTTCTGCCATGGATTCTGTGGCTAAGTGGGTGGGAATGGTCCCTTGACAGATGTCACAATGGATATAGCCCTGATCTTTGTGCCTGGAGTTCCTGCCAGCCATCTGCTTATAGGTGGTTCTGTCATAGGAAAGGATATCCTGAGAGGTCAGTAGTGAGGTGGGGATAAGGGTGTGCCCCATTTAGCTTCAGGGAAGGGCTGGCTATGGCTTAGAACACTCAGGATCTGAGGCTAGACACTGCTTACAAGCCCCAGTGGGAGACTTTGACCCCAGCCTAACCCAGTCCCCCAATCTCTCAGCACACGAAGTTGCCTCCTGACTGCTGCCCCCTCCTCGTATTTGTGAACCCCAAGAGTGGGGGCCTCAAGGGCCGAGACCTGCTCTGCAGTTTCCGGAAGCTGCTAAACCCACACCAGGTCTTTGAACTAACCAACGGGGGGCCTCTCCCTGGGTAAGTCTGGGGTTTCCCTGGCATGTGGGAAGAGCACCCTCTACCTGTCTGTGGCCAGTGAGAACTCCAGTTGGGATTCTACTGGAACCGTGGCCAGAGATGGACATCTGAACAGGAAAATCTACCTGTCTGTGGCCAGTGAGAACTCCAGTTGGGATTCTACTGGAACCGTTAAGTCCTCTATGTGGCCAGAGATGGACATCTGAACAGGAAAGGACTGCTCAGGGAAGAATGAGTGGCCAAGTCCTGGACTGGTTAGCTAGCATTTAGCACAACACTATCTCCCATGCAGGTTCCACCTATTCTCCCAGGTACCCTGTTTTCGGGTGCTGGTGTGTGGTGGAGACGGCACTGTGGGTTGGGTGCTTGCTGCCCTGGAGGAGACAAGGCACTGTCTGGCCTGCCCAGAGCCATCTGTGGCCATCCTGCCCCTGGGCACAGGTGGGCTCAGCCATCAACCTGGAAAATGGGGATCTCAGGGATGTCCATACTGTGGGTTTTTTTCAACACTCATGGTGATGTGTAGGTCATGCTGTCTCTTCTGTTTCTCAGGGAATGACCTCGGCCGGGTCCTCCGCTGGGGGGCAGGCTATAGTGGTGAGGACCCATTCTCCGTGCTGGTATCTGTGGATGAAGCTGATGCTGTACTCATGGACCGCTGGACCATCCTGTTGGATGCTCATGAAACTGGTAGTGCAGAGAACAATGTGGACGTGGAGCCCCCAAAGGTACCAGTGTGGCACCTGCTAAGCTCTTGCTTTCATTCCCTTTTTGCTGAAGTGTTCCTTTCCTTCCAGCCTCCCCTGAAAGGTACTAGCACAACCTCTGTAAAAAAGGCCCCTGAAGCAGAGCAGTAGCTTGCTGGTTCAAGTCTGTGGAACTGTGGGTCCTGCCCTCTTGGATGCTGTGGTAGTTGAGCAAAGACTTCTGGGAAGGAAGGGCAACTGTAACAACAGCAGAGTAGAGTTGGAAATGGCTGGCATAATTTGTGACCCTCAGGAGGGGCTGGCCAGCATCTTGATTATGTATCTCTAGATTGTTCAGATGAGTAACTACTGTGGCATTGGCATTGATGCGGAACTCAGCCTAGACTTCCACCAGGCACGGGAAGAGGAGCCTGACAAATTCACAAGCAGGTACTGGGAGGCAGGGCTGGGGGCCAGGCTACTCTCAGCAGTTAGCAGCCTTTATTACCTAAATTTTTTTTTTGCGGGGGGGGGGGGGGTTTGTCTTTGAGACAGGCTCTCCCTGTAGCCCCAGCTGTCCTGGAATTCACTATGTAGACCAGGCTGGCCTCAAACTCACAAAGATCCTCCTGCCTCTGCCTCCCAACTGCTGGGACTAAAGGTGTGCGCCACCATGCCCAGCGTATTACCTGGTAATGGTGGGTGCCTACTTCCCCTCTGACAGGTTCCACAACAAGGGTGTGTATGTACGGGTTGGGCTGCAGAAGATCAGCCACTCCCGAAGCCTACACAAGGAGATACGGCTGCAGGTGGAGCAACAGGAAGTGGAGCTGCCCAGCATTGAAGGTCTCATCTTCATCAACATCCCCAGGTACTGGGGCTGGCTCCCGGAAACCCTGCATAGCTCAGACCTGTGCCTGGCCTGTACCTAATTTGTGTGTTTTCATCTTTTGGGGGCAGTTGGGGCTCAGGGGCTGACCTGTGGGGCTCTGACAGTGACTCAAGATTTGAGAAGCCACGCATGGACGATGGGCTGTTGGAGGTGGTGGGTGTGACAGGTGTCGTGCACATGGTGAGCACTGGCAGGCTGGTGGGCAGGCCCTGTGGAACCCTTTGGGCGCCATTAGCTAGCTCAGCTTCTATCCTGCCCAGGGCCAGGTACAGGGTGGGCTGCGCTCCGGAATCCGCATCGCCCAGGGCTCCTACTTCCGTGTCACACTCCTCAAGGCTACTCCAGTGCAGGTGGATGGTGAGCCCTGGGTTCAGGCCCCAGGGCACATGATCATCTCTGCTACTGCCCCAAAGGTATGCTGGCAAGGCTGAAAGCAGAGGTATGGTGGGCCAGGGCCAGAAGGGCTGAGGCTATGTAAGTGACATAGTGAATGGCTAGTTGGGTCTAGGCCTCAGTCTTCTTAGACTCCAGGTGCTGTGAGGCCCTGGTGGAGGCTGCCAATTCTTCAAGGCCATTGCCCCTCAGTGAAGGAAAGGCCTCTGGCCTTAGGAGAGCAAGAACTGAGGATAATGTTCATTGGACTGCAGGCTGTACCCACTACACAACTTTGCAGTTACTGTCTTCTATGGAGTGGAGCCAGGAAGTACCCTGGAAATCCCGACTGTCAGCTACAATGTCACCCTAGCCCTCTGACCCTCCACCCCTGCCTTGGAACAGGTCCACATGCTGAGGAAGGCCAAGCAGAAGCCCAGGAAGGCTGGAGCCATCAGGGATACCCGAGTGGACACCTTGCCTGCTCCTGAGAGCAATTCTAAATAGACAGGCCAAGATAAGGGATCATACCCACCCAGCCTTTCCCCTCTTCAGCTCTGTTCCAAGTCACACATTGGCTGGCCAGAAGATGGACTTAGTTGTAGCACTGACCATAGCATCTCCCCAGGGCTTGGGATGTTTCCAGCCTGCATTCTTATCCAGTATGTCATGTGGAGACATGGGTGGGTGGGTAGTTGCATTGCTCACTCTACCCTAGTACCAGTACCAGTACCAGTCTATGATAATGGGCATGGAGTTCTGGCTGCTCTGTTTTCTGCACAAGACTGGACCTTACAGGATAATGGGGCTGGCCTTATACCTGAGTCAGTTGCAGAAGCTTCAGGGAAGGGGAGGGAGGACCCAGAGGACACCCTTTCCCTCTCTACCTTAGAGCTTCTTGGGCCCAACAGTACTGGATGCAGGCCGTCCAGGTGGACCTCTGACCTCATTTTGTGTTCTCTAGGCTGTCCCCCTGAATGCTTCTTCAGAGCAGCTAGCCCTATTGGTCCCTGGTCTAGCAGATAGAGAATTCTGCCAGTTTCTCCTGTCCCTACTGGGTGGGTGATATGGCACCTTCCTGTTCCCTGGCCTCAATAATAGACAGCAGCTTGCACATTTGCAAGGTCTGGGCCTGGCTGATGGCCCTGAGTAGACAAGCTGCAACCAGAAAAAGGGGAATCTTTGTTCATCTTGAGGTCAGGTGGATTTAGGCGCCACCCATGCAGTACTTGGAGTGTGGACTGGGCCCAGAGTATCCCTCCTTGTCCTTGAGGTGGTCACCTATCCCCAAAGGGGAGCAGAGTGGGTGGTAACTGGTTGGGGAACATGTAAATAACACCTGCTGGTATAAAGAATGGCTTCAGTGCCCTCAGACTTAACTATAGCACTTTATATACATGCTGTTTGCCAGCCAGCAGCCTTTCCATGTAGGTGTAAAGCTTCTGTTCTGATTTCCACACCCATTGAGGTAACTTTGTTGGCCATGCCTTGTTGGGGGCACCATGCTTACAGAATGAGACAAAGCTGTTTCTTCCATGTGTCTTAAGAATTCACTGTCCCTCAGACCCCTGAAGAAAATGACCAAAAATGAGCTACCTAGCTGGGCCTGCTGGTACAGGACTGTAACCTCAGCTATTCAGGGGACTGTTATCAAGAGGATTGCAAATTCTAGGCCTGCCTGGGCTACACAGCTAAACCCCTTCTTTAGGACATGGCTTAGTGGTAGATAGTGCGAAGCCCTATCCCCAGCCGTGGGTTGGGGAGGACCTATGTGATAGTGTGATGCTCACCCCAAAGAATGGTGCACAGGTCCAGATCCTTCCCTAGTTTTTTGGAACTGAGTTTGTACCATACCCAGGTAGGCTGGGGTATGCCTACTGGCAGCCTCCCAGGGCCATGGTGCCACCCCTCTCCTGCTTCTGCCAAAATTGCACAGACAAATGCATTGACAACCATTTGTGATCTCTGTCTATATGTTCATGTCATTTGCAGTGTTCAAAACAAGTCTTTTGTGATGTAGTTTTCACTCTGATTTCAATTTGTAGGAATTGTTTGTAAATTGCAGTCAGTGTAGTTTGTCCTCTGTATTTAAATGAGATTGTCCCTTTTGTGGGGTATGTCCTGTGCACTGGTCCTGTCTTTGTGTGTAACTTATCACTACCTGAATGTACCTAACATATCCAGGCCAAATACAGTGTGGGCTTTGCTGTCCTGTAACTGCCTTTCATCTTTGTCCTGTAACTGATATGGGGATGGGCAGGACTGGCAGTCTCACCATGGCAGCTCTACACTTGAGATGTCAGCCAACTGGACAGCAGCCTTCCTGCTCAGCCAGCCCAGACTCAGGGAGAAGCAACTGCCCCAAGGCTCCAAGCAGAGCAGTGGCTTATATGTGGCCACATGCAGGTCAGAATAAGGAGTAGGGATGGGCCTCAGATCCTGGCTAGGCCCTGCTGCCTCAAGATCCCACTAACAGCCCCAATAGGCTTGTTCAGGTTAATCAGAGATGATTATACTGGCAGTGTTTAGGGTAAAGAAAATAAATGGGTAAAAGCAGTAAAAGGAGTTACCATGAAACTCCTCACTGCAAAAAGGGAAGTTTTCATACTTTTGAAGTAGATCTTTATATTTCACAATGGAAACAATACCCAGGCCAATGAAACCATAGCTGTAGGGCCACAACCATCCTCTGCTGGGCCATCTTCAGGGAACCCTTTCCAGTCTGCCTGGGATGGACAGGTGTGGCTTCCTTGGTGCTAGCAGGGGGCAGGCAGGAGCTGGGACTGTGCCTCTGGCTCAACCAGGCACGGCTGGGGGTGCCATGGCCGGAGGCCCCACAGGACTTGTAGGGTTGCCAGGGCAAGGCGCACGAGGAGGCGCAGCAGCAGAAAGGCGAAGGGCACCGCGATCTGCATCAGGTGGAAGATGGCAGTGCTGAACCGGCTCAGCAGACAGGTGGCAGCAAAGGCTAGCAGGCTGGCACAGGGGTACAACGCAAGCTTGGCGAACATGAAGGCATGCTCCCGCCCACCAAATCGTACGGCTGGCTGCAGTGTCTCTGCCTGGTGGAGCAGGGCCGCAGTCCAGATGGCAAACTGGAAGATGCTGGCAAAGAAGATGATGGCACAGCTGACACGAACTCGCTCAAGTTCATCACGGGGTTGCCGGGCGAAGGCAGAAGTCTGCTGGTAGGCCAGAGGGAGGCCACCCACAAAGGCCAGTGAGAGTATGTTGAGCAACCCCATGGTCTGTGTGGCCTTCCGGACATGCAGGAAGAGTGAATGGTGGGCAAACCAGAGTAGACCCACTGTGGCGAAGGAGCCGAAGTACGCCAGGAATTGTGGCCCATATGCACCCAAGGCAGTCACGAGGCTGCCGCTGAACTTCTCCTGCACATCCTTGGGATCTGGAACATTGTCCTCACTGGGAAGCATGAACAGATGGCATTTGTCTAACAGCCTTCCAGGGATGACAGACCCAGAGGGGTAGACCAAGCATAACAAAGTAAATTTGACATCAATGATGTGCCTGCTCTAACACATAAAATGTTTTCTACATACTGTTTACATATAATTAGCATACTGGAGTTACCTCTATTCTTCACTCAAATGCAAATTTATCTAGTCCTATATGTTCTTTGTCAACTGGCAGCTCTACTTGCCAGCCAAGGATTGGCAGGCAACTCTCATGATTAATTGGCTAGTGCCAGGCTTCTGAGGGTGGGACATCTACAGGAAGGGTCCCTGCAGCTGTCCTGAGTCAGCAGTCCTGAATCTTGCAGACTGTAGTGGAGGCTACATTCTTGAGCATAGAGCCTGGGGATGGCACCCTAGTACCTGGGTATGAAGGAAATGGCACCTAAGCACTTGCTGCTTCCTTCAATCAGTGGCCAGAGGGAAAGGGAACAGGATGGTAGCAGGAGTCACATGAAGCAAGACCCCAAGCAATAGGGTGGTAGCCTCCCCTTTGCCAGAATCCCAGCTCCAATTGCAATGTCTAGATCACATCTTTTGACCCTGGCTTCAGAGTGGAAGCAAAGGCATATTGTTCTGGAGTGTTCCTTAAATCTAGGCCTCAGGAATCAGGTACTAATGAGTCTTTACTTCCAGTTTATAAAAAATTTACAAATTACAGTAGAAAAACCTCAAGAAGTATAAGGAGGATCAGACTGTCAGGTACAGACTATAGTCAGTGCCATGACACATTTAATGAAGTAAGTAACGGAATATGATGGAGAAACTGCAGGCAGGAGGCAGGCAGGAGGCTTAAAAAACAAGGCAGACACTTGGAAATGAAAGTGAGCATTTAGACTAGAACTCCAGGATTGCAGTGGAGCCAGGCCATGCAGAAAAGCCAGTCCTAAGGGACATGGGTGCAGGGGACAAGGCCAGAGGGGGCTGCCTGCCTATGTCTGGGGTGGAAGGCACAGGGCAGCCTTGGACAACTGGCTCTCCCTGGCACCCAGTCACCACCTGTGCTTCAGGAAGGCCCAGTTCCCAAGATCTCTGACCTCCCTTGAGGAAGGGGGCTTGTATAATGCTGTGGGCACCCAAGGAGAGGCTGGTACTGAGTGAGATCTTCTGGGACAAGATACCAGGATTCAAAGACATACCACCATCTGGAAGATGGGCCAAAGCAGCAGAGTTGGGGTCCTCACCAGATGTCCAGGATAAGAAGTGTGGCCACGATAGCATAGACACCGTCACTGAAGGCTTCTACCCGCTCCTTGCTGAGGGGTGCATGCAGGTCAATATTGAAGGACTCCACACTGTGAGCTGGAGGCTCCCTGGGGCCTGTGGACATGCCAGGATGAGGAACTGGCCTAGTTGGGGGACTAACAGGCCAGTATGACTATCAATGCCCTCTTCTCCAAGGGGGCAGGAAGAAATGGTACAGAGATTCTAAGAGGCAGGAAGCAGCCAGGGCCCAGCAAACCCACTCAAAGCTAGGGTGGGCCCAGAAGAATGAGCCCTGAGCCATCACATACTGATGCTTTGCTCCCAGTGGTCCTTGGGAGTGGCCTGAGATGTGGTAGAACCTCCCAATGTGCTCATTGTAGAGCTGTGCATGGTCACCTACCCATGAACTTGTCTTTGCACCAGCTGATGGCCTTGCTGATGTGAGGGAGGAAGATGATGGTCACCATCAGCAGGTATGACTGCAGGGAGAGATAACAGGTTAGGTCTGCCTTGGGGGTAGTGGCTGTTTATACCTGAAGCCTGGTCCCACCCTGCCCCAGATGGAGGAGCAGCAGGAGTGACAGAGGAAAATCCAGTCAACTGTCCTTATGGAAATGAATTCTGTGTCAAGGGCACTGGCCGAAGTGGAAGGACAACCACAAGGGGGGAAATGCACACAAGTCATGCACCTGGTAAGAGTTTAGTATTCAAAATGAATAAAGTACAGTAACAGCGAAACAAAAGACAAGCATCCCTATTAGAAAATAAAGGAAGCTGGGCCAGGCGTGGTGGCGCATGCCTTTAATCCCAGCACTCAGGAGGCAGAGGCAGGCGGATCTCTGTGCGTTCAAGGCCAGCCTGGTCTACATAGTGAGTTCCAGCACAGCTGGGGCTACAGGGAGACCCTGTCTCAAAAAAACGCCCCCCCCAAAAAAGAAAAAAAACAGAAATAGACTTGAAAAGAAACTTCCCCTGGAACCCCCCAGTCAAAGCCGACTTGGCTAGATGGTTCCCATACAGCGTTCTGCTCTGTTTCATGACTGCAGTGTCCCTGTGTGCCCTGGGTCCCACCCATTCAGCTTGTACCATTCAGCCCTCACGCAGTTTCAGACAACCTGTCAGGGCCTTCAGGATACCTTTGTAGCAGTTACAGGCCCATATCAGCCCATCTACTTTAAACCTGGCATGTTCTGAATGCTCACCAAACATTTTTAAAAAAAATATTTTTTATTTGATGTGTATGCGTGTATTGCCTGCATGTAGGTAAGTGCACCTGTGTCATGCAATGCCTGCGAAGGACAGAAAAGGCTGTCGGATCCCCTGGAACTAGAGTTATGGACAGTTGTTAGCTGCCATGTGGGTGCTGGGATTCGAACCTGGGTCTTCTGCAAGAACAATCAGTGTTCTTAACCGCTGAGCCATCTCTCCAGCCCCCAAACATTTAATTTCCATTGTATTTATTTTATTTATCTTTACGCATGCACTTTAGCACGCATGTGGAAGTCAGAGGAAAACTTTCAGGAATTGGCTCTCCTTTTACTACAGAGATCCTGGGGATCAAACAGGTCATCAGGCTTGATGGCAAGTACCTTTACCTGCTGAACTATCTCACCAGCCCCTCACCAGCCCCTCAGTGTGCTTCCATGGTACTTAAGTTGATCCTACCCAAGCCAGCTTAAATAGCCTGCCCTGAAAAAAAAATGGTTTTGGCATTACCTGCTTTTTTCCTGTTAGCAGGCCTTGATTTTTTTCAGCTGACTGCCCCTGAGCTCCTAAGACTTACCATGGGGAAGAAGAAGAGGGAGAAAACAGCAGCAACAAAGCACAGGGCTGGACCACGCAGGACAAGGCGCAAGACGTGCTGCCGGGACAGGGCCCTGTGCGTAGAATACTGGATCTGTGGGTTCAGTAGGTGTGGGAAATGGAAGGCATACCCCACAATCAGTGCCTATAGGGAAAAAGGAGGCTGAAGAGCACCATCAACAGGCAGAGGGAACACCATAGCCAGTCAACCCTTAGACTAATACATTTTTAGGGGTCAGGGACAAGAGGACCCCTTTCCTAGGTATAGGCTCCCCCATCCCCCAGGATGTTCTGGAAGGCTGGGATAGAGAAGGAGGTGGCAACTCTTGTCCTACTCCTGAGATTGTGTGAGGCCCTTCCCTCAGCAAGTCAGGGCCCTGGGTATGCCATGTCCCAAATGTGTTCATGGGTAGGACCCAGACTCCTTGGGTTGTGGGAGATCAGGACACTGGCACTCAACCTACACATATATCCATAGGATACAGGTCCCTACCTGCACAGATCCAATGGCAATCACACACATGCAGAACAGGAAGATGCCCAGGGGCACATCAGGGAAGGTCACCATTAGAGAAAACTGTCAAAAGAACCCCCATAAACCCCCCAAAGATTATCAGATCTCCTAGGCTCTGAGATGGCATACAGTGACTCTCCCTTTCTCTGTGCTAGGCAAACTGTCCTAGCATGGAGCCAGTGGTGTGGAAACAGCAGTGGGATTATTCACAGTCCTCTGACAGAGCAAATTCATGGGTTTCAGACATTTAAAGTCAATGTCACCAAACTCATATAAAATCCCCTAGAACTGAATTCTCTGTGTTATAGTCCTATATATTTGTGCCAACAGCATATATTAAGAATTTTAAATATTTTATTATTTGTACGAGTGTATTATTATTTGTATGACTGTACTGCCTGCATATGTGTAAGTGTATCCATATTATGCAGTGCTTATGGAGGTCAGAAGAGGGTGTTGGATCCCCTGGAGCTGGAGTTAAGAGATGGTTGTTACATGTGGGTGTTGGGAATTGAACCCAGGTCCTCTGCAAGAGCAGCCAGTGTTCTTAACCGCTGAGGAGTCTCTCCAGCCCCCTTACTAGAATTTTAACAGGTCTGCTTCTTCAGACCTGTTAGTGGAGTTGGTGGAGAAAGGCAGGTGGAAGCAAAGGGCACTAGGGGCCCTCATGGTGGCCTCTGCTCCAACAGCCTTAAGTTCCCTCCTCCACTCAGCCCCTAACCACTAGTTCTCTGAAACTCTCCACTTTGTACTCAGTGGCCTAAGTCTTAAATCCCAGTCTTCATTTCTGAGCAGTGTCACACATGGGTGCTCAGTGAGGCCTGGGGGGAAATGATCATTACTCACTGTGTAGGGTAGAAGAGTGATGGTCATCATGCAGGCCTGAAGTGGGGGGAAAGGAAGGAGATCATGGTTACCATAAAGACTGGGGAGGAAGAAGGGGGCACTCCAGGGAGGTGGCAAGGTACCCATGGGCCCTACCAATCCAGAGTGTGTGGGGCCAGGCCTTTCCCCAAGAAGCCTGTGCCCCTTGTTCTGGACAGATGGACACTACAGGGATCATCTGAGGAATTTCCAGAAATGGATAAAATCCAGGCTATGAGGATGCATATCCTTCCCTATCTCCCAGGAAGGCTAAATTCAACTAAAATCATTTTTCAAAACAATAATAACTCACCAGGTTGAGCAAGGCAAGTGTATCATCTATTTTTCCAACAACCTGGAACAATCTAAAGTTAGGAAAAAGAGAAGATGGGTCATCATTTAAATATGGCTCCCAATAAAATTAAAATGAAAACACACTTTCTCCAGCATTTTCCAGTTAAAAATATCATTAAAGATGTCACTTTTGGCCAAACTTAAAATACGACCTAGTGGGCTAATAAAAATTGGCTCAGTAGGTAAAGGTATTTGCTACCAAGCCGAGTTCAATCCCTGGATCTTCATGGTGGAAGGCAAGAACCAATTCTTGCAAGTTATCCTCAGACCTTGGGTGCACACACACACACACACACACACACACACACACACACACATATTCATGCATGCACAAATAAAATGTAACTAAAAATATGTAACTACAACCTATTATATGAAGGTCAGAAAGGTCACCCGCCTTTCCCACATGTTCTTCCCATTATTTTGCTCCTAATTTAAAGCATGATGCTTTAAACAGAAGCAGTTTGCAGGAACCACCCGTATACTTGGTAGCTCTTAGGGAGGTTTTTTATAGAATGCCTCTGGAGACAAACTTCTGAACAGAGACTGGGGACTTCAAGCTGTCTATGGAGATCCTGCTGTGGGCAGGGCTGACGGAGTAGCTGTAAGCTGCCTGTCTCACAAACTTTGTTTAGCCACACTTTCTGGGAATGTGGAGCAAGAGCTCCATTAATGCAATGTATCTGCTCTTCAGGCCTTGGGCCTAAAATCCATTCTGAATAAAATAAATGTTCTTTGCTCACTCCCCGCCCCCAGAGATTTCATATATTAAACCTGTTGGAACAGGTTATTAACAGAGAAATGTTTTTTGTGTGGAGATACTACAATGTAAATAGAACACAAAATAGAGCACTATTTATCACAGAAATATGAGCATAGGTTGCCCCGACAGGCCTTGACCCTGGCTCGGGGTGCTACCCACCCAACTCTGAACACATTGTCTTCTCTTGGGCTGGACTCAACTGAACTGCCATCCCCACCCTGGGGTGCAGCCCATGGCAGTGACAGGGGCTTGCTCACTTGGGCAGAGGCCTTTACTAATAAACCAAATAGGAGGAGCTATAGTCTTGGAGACAACAGTTCTGCTGGCTACCTCCTCCCAGGTTTCCTGGGTCCCAGATCCCTGCTGTTGTGCTCCAAAGTGGGTGTGGCCCCTGGTAAATAAACCATGATGCTGGTCCAGGGAAATCTGGCCAAAGTCACAGCTACCCAGTACCCACTAGGCTGCTGCCCTTCTGGACATTCCACTAACAAGGAAGACCAAAAATGTAATCCTGTCCACGTCTTGAAAGTGGAGAGCCATTTATCACCATCGTATTTCTAAGAACAAGTATATAACATCAAAATTTTTCCTGCACTTGTAACAGGGTTGTGGATTTTTCTCACCCCCCAGCATTCCCTGAAAAGCATTTCCTTTGAACAGGCTGATCTGCAGCCAGGGATGCAGTGTCCACAGCCAGAGCTCTGCCTTTGGGTGCCTCCTGTCCCTGCCTGCCTGTTGTTCAGTGGTTAGGGATTCATGCAGCTCTGAAGCCCTGTGCCCTTAGGATCCAAATGAGCCTTTTACTCTCTTAAGATAAAACTCAGGACCCCAGAATACATCTGTATGCTCAGCCTCTATATAGGAAAGGGGTTGTGCTTGACTTGAGACATAGCCATTAAGCTTGCTTTAGGTCTGCCCTACTCTGCCCTGGTCTTTCAGTGGCTCTAAAGGGCAAGTATTTGACTGTCCTACCTTATAGACAAGAAAGCTGGAGGGTAGTGCTACAGTAATAGGCCTTCTTTGGAACAACTATGTCCATGTTTCACTGTCCTAAGCACAAGCTTCAGAGTGAGAGTCAGGGACAAGGGTGGTGTAAACTGAGAGGGCCACTGACACCAAGAACAATGTATCTCTGTATTACTGCAGTAGCCCACTGTATCCTATACCCACCCTGAGCAAAACATGATAATGAGGACCTAGCTTCAAAATTCCTGGCTTGGGGCTGGAAAGCCGGCTCAGTGGTTAAGAGCACTGGCTGCTCTTACAGAGGACCTGGGTCTGGTTCCCAGCACCCACATGGTGGCTAACAACTGTCTGTAACTCCAGTTCCAGGGGATCTGATTACCTCTTCTGACCTCCACAGGCATTGTACGACATGTGGTGCACTTATATACATGCAGGCAATACACTCATACATATAAAATAATAATAATAAATAAAAGTTTCTTTAAAATCCTGGCTCTCGGGCTGGAGAGATGGCTCAGCGGTTAAGAACACTGGTTGTTCTTGCAGAAGACCCAGGTTTGAATCCAAGCACCCACGTTCCAGAAAATATAGAGGGGACAGACACACACACACACACACACACACACACAAAATAAAAATAATAAAATAAAAATAAATAAATAATAAATTAAAAAATCCTGGCTCCCACAGGAAACCTCCCTTTGAGTTGTTGGCTATAGTAGTCCAAGAAGACTCCAAAAACAATACACGGTATTGCCATTGCTCTAGGTTGCCTCCCAAAGCTTGAAGGTAAACACTATTGTTGAAGACACCACACACTTCAAACACAGGACTTGGAAGAATCAAGCTGGAACTGACCCGGAAGCCTCCTCCTTGAGGCCTAGCTCTCACAGTAACAGAAGGTGCTATGCAAGCTGCCAAGGGAGAAAAGCAATCAACAGTCCCAACTCAACTGTAAAGCCTACAAATCGCAACAACCAGCCCAGCAAAATTTCCCTAATGGTACAATACGACACTTTTATATTGGGGGAATTCATGCCTGGTACTACAAACCTAGCCAACTATCATCAGTGACTGAAGATATCACAGACTTCAGAGGCACACCTACTACTGCCACCAATAACTTCTAACTGTATTTCCTAAACCAATATCATTTCTAACTGTATTCTAAATACTTGTCCTTAGACTCTCAGATAAGTTTAGCTTTCACCATTCATCAAAGAAACTCCTTTTGCAACAGATGGGGACTATTACAGAGATCTATACCTGGTCAAAATGTAGAGAATAAGTGACTGTGGGGTACCCAGCTCTAACTGATACCTCTACAATGCAACCTCCTAGACCTGTGGCAGAGAACATCAAGGAAGAGGAGGCAGAAAGATCTTAAGAGCCAGATGACCAGGACACCTGCTGCTAGATAGTGTCTTCCAGACATGAGATGGAAGCTGTATCCATGAAATCTCAACAATATGATTGCCTAAGTAAGACCTGCATAATGATACCACCAGTTGACATGCCAATGTGGGTGGGGTAAATTTCATAAGGTCCCACCTCTAGATGAAGAGCTACAGGCAATCAATGGAGAGGGAGAGGGAGAGGGAGAGGGAGAGGGAAAGGGAGAGGGAGAGGGAGGAGGGGGGGAGAGAGAGAGAGAGAGAGAGAGAGAGAGAGAGAATGAATGAGAATGAGAATGAGTTGTCTCCAGGGACCAGCTCCTGAGAGGAAGTGGGGGATGACTGGAAATTATGTAAATATAGTACTTAATGTGTGAAATTCTCAAAAAAATTAAAAAAAAAAAAAGCTTGGCTCCCTACCTGGTATGTGCTGCCCAGGCCACAGTTACGATTAGAAATGTCATCAAGTAGACAGCGATCCTAGTTGCTAGAAGTTTCTGTATACTTTTGTCAAACTGCTATATGAAGAGAACACTATTAGAATAAAACAACACATAGAACCCAACAGTGGCCATTTCAAGAGCAAGGCCTCACACCCAGAGGGACAGTGAGACATCTAGGAAGATCCCCAGCCTCAGAGGACACCCAGTCTATATCTGCTATATCTGGACACCCAGTCCAGCCTCACCTCCACCACACTCACCCCACCTCTACAGGCCCTATCCTCGCCCTCAAAGGTATCTTTTGCAGGCAGTTTTGCCACAGCAATAGAGCTCCTGGGCAATACAGGCCTTGCCACCATCACTTTATGACTGGTAAAAGATCCTGGCTGCCAACAGGTTTGCTGTCATAGGTATCCTAACAGCTACAATGCAAGGGACAAAAAGCAAAAGGCATCCAGACCCTTCTGTAAGGTCACTAATTGCTTTCTAAAGCTTTCACCTTGAGGTTTAAGTTCCAATATGTAAATTTTGGAGAGACAGCATTTACACTACTGCAGAGTCAGACCCAGTATCGCCTAGATGAGCAATTTCAAATCGCCAAGGGCAAAGAGACTTCTAAAAGTCCCCAGTGAGATCACAGTCAGAGTGGGTTTTCCACAGTTGAATACCACCCAAGGGGCTATAGCTGGAAGAGACCAGTGTTCTGGGAAGAAACCTCAATCAAGACAGAGTGCACCTGAAATCATGAGAGGGGGTTTAATGGTTTTTAAACATATTCTCAAAAAACTAATTGGTGTATTGGTTTCCTTGTTTTTTCTTGTGCTAGTATCAGTAGATGCATCAGTGACTTGGCATTTCATTTCAGATTCCTCTTCTCAAATGCCCCCATGTATACTTCTCACCTTGAACTTGCAATCCTCTTGCCTCAGCCTCCCAAGTAGCTAGGATTATAGGCATTTGCCACCAGGCCTAGCAATAAAGTCTTCTTTTAAAAAAATTGGACCAGTGAGGTGACTTAGCCAGTCAAAGTGCTTGCTGTACAAGCCTGATGACCTGAGTTTGATCCCTAGAACCTATGTTGGAAAGAAAGAACTAACTCCTGAAAGTCGTCCTCAGACCTCCACACATGTACCATGGCATGTACACACTGGCATACGTGCGCGCACACACATACACACAATTTTTTTTTTAAGTACTGGGGCTGAATCTAGAGTCTCATGCAGGCTAGGCAAGCACTCTATCACTAAGTCTGTATTTCCAGTCCACTGTGCTTTCTCAGTTAAACTGTTCAAAGTCCACAGCTCTTTCCCTAATAGAATGAGCACAACGATGTCCAAGGAGACATCTGCTGCTTCAGTACCTGTTCAGGGGTTGCCAGCCTCTCCTCCTCCATAAGTATCCCCTTTGGATACATCCTACAGACCCAAGAGTTTTCTAAGAGCCAGTTAGGACACAGAGACTCAGTACTGAAAAGTCAGTATCCAAAAGAGGACCCTGTCACAGACACAAGTTGTCCACCATGCTGCAGTTGGGGTGTACATTCAACAAGCAGCAGTTTCCTGCTGAAGCTGCCTCTGGGATTTCTTTGATCCTGGTGTGGACACTTCACATTAACCCTCTTCTCATTGTGTCCAGGCAAGCACCTCATGACATGCTAAACCAAGCCCATTCTATAGGCTTCCCAGAGAAGGCCTAAGCCACTGCTCCCTAGCTCTCCCAAGCAGTGACTGGCAGGCACAATTCCATCAGAACAGCTGAGCCCAGCACAGGTGTGGTCTGATGCTCAGGTCTCCAAGAACTTAATTTTCATCATAATGCAACACCAGTGTTGTAACCATCTCTCCACAGGGCAAAAGCAAAACCTCAGCAGCTCTGGAGCCTCCTTAAGCATCCAGTTCAGCTTACAGGTGTGGGTGGAGCCAGCCCTCATTGTGGCTGGGCCATCTGGGCATAGCTGTAACCTTCCTCCTTCACAATACACAGTACCCATGAGGCTGCTATGGTGGTATGCCAATTACACAGGAAGAAACAGAGGCACTCCAAGGGCTGTCCAAGTCTCTTCTAAAGACCCACATGTTCTTGACTAAAAAAAGAAATCCCATCAAGCTGGCTATAAACAGAAATGCTTTTAAAAGCTCTTCTCTACCCATTCAGGATGGCTTGGCATAGGTCCACTTCCTTCTCAGTGAAGGATATTGCTGTCTGTCCACTTAGTCCAACACAAAGTTCCTTCTACAGGAGCCTAGGCTTAAGCCCTTATCCACACCTGCTCAGAGCATATATCCTGCCAGTAGAAAGCACAGATGCTCTACCCTCTCAGTGAGCAATCCTGCCTTGGACTCTGCTACCTGAAGATTGTTGAGTCAGATCCCCAAGCCCAGGTCAGGTCTTCTCCCTGGCCCACTGAACAAAGCAGTCTTTTCATTACCTGTTCTGGTGAGATCTCCGTGTGGGTCACAGGCAGGATCTAAAGGAACACAGACAAAAAGAACCAACACATATTTCTTGGGCTGGGGACCCTCAGAGATACGTAGATTCTTGGCCAGTTCTGGGCATCCCCCACCTGCCTGAAAGGCTTCAGCATCTGTGGATACTGCAGAAACCAAGGGTGGGTCTTAGGTGGGCCCCACACTGACCATGACAGTGGCGATGATGGACAGCAGTGCATCACTGAAGCCCAACATGCGGTGGGAACTCTGGGTTCCCTCCTCGTCATTCCTGTACAGGGATGAGTCTCCTTCAGCATCCACTGCCTGTTCCTGGGTCTGGGGCCTGGACATGGTGGGGCCACCTGGTGGTCACAGCAGCCTGGGAAGAAGCATAGCTCTGAGCATGTCAGAGGGATGTTATAAATGGCCAACCCTGTGGACTTCAGCCATGACAATCTGGAGACAAGGGCTAGGAATGGGGGAAGAGACACTTCATCAGGTGACCCCTCCAAATTTCCAGCGTCCCGCTAAGAGTACCAGCATCAGACTCCACCAGCAAGCACCGTAATTGGGCCAAGGTACTTTCTCTGTCTCAGTTTACTTCAACAGGAAGACACTGTTTGATTTAGGGTAGGTGCTGAGCATACAGTGTTACCAGGAAAGGCCTGAAATCTCTGATCCTAGTAACAGATTGTCCCTAAAAGCTGCTTTGTCAGGCTTGAGTTGGCACATCATCCCGGCTGAGGTATATAACCAGAGACTGTGATGGCCCTGGTTGCCTGAGTGCAGGCTCTGGGATATTTTTAAGTTTTCAGGAACAAGTCTGAGAAGACAAGTAAGATACCAGCTGTAATATTCTCTGGGGAAGAGAGACATTCATACCACAGGAGCAAAGAGCTGAGCTGCAGTTACAAATCTACTCTGGATTCTGAATTGGACCCAGTGGCACAAACACTGAGAATCACTCAACAGCTACAGGACATGGGCAGAGGGGTCACTAGGAAGTGTTTGCCAAGCCTCTACCTGAAGACATGGGCAAGAGAAGAATGTGACAAGGATGGTCAGGAGGCTGAAGCTGTGACCAGGAGAGAGGGGAGAAGGTCATCCCTAGGAAGCAGGTACTGAGAACATGAAAAGGAGGCTGATGCTTGGGTCCAGGAAGGCAAGAAACCAGGCCTACCAACATACAGGCATGGGGCTCTTGAGGGAAGAGTTGGTTGTTTTGGGCACATTTCCTGAGACAAAGGAAGGACACCTGAGGGCAGCTACATAAGGAAAGGCTGCATTGGAGATGAGAATGTGGAGTCACTAGTGCTGTTAGGAAAAATGAGACCATGAGATGGATAGTTAGGAGCAAGGGTAGTGGTGCTCTGGGAGGGTGGGGAAGGAGCAGCTAGGATACTTGGCGGACACAGCTTCAGGAAGGGTGGCCACGCACAAGTCCTTTAGCAACAGAGCAAGGTTAACATAGAGTGTGTCTAGGTTTACTCTGAAGAGAATGCAGCTGATCCAGCATCAGGCACTACGTAAAAGCAAGAGGAAGGTGTGGCCCGCTGTCCTAGCAAGTGAGCTTAAGCCCTCACCAAGACAAGACATAAAACACAAAGGGATAAAAGAGGTGGATTGGCTATTATCAAAAAGGAAAAATTAGTTGCAAATAAATATGTGTATGGTATTCAGGCTGAGAGCACAGCTCAGTGATGAGACAGCTCACCTTATGCACATGAGGCCCTGGGTTTGATCCCCAGCACTGCAAAAGAAGAAAAAATTGACTTTACCAGTAATCGTGGAAATATAAATGAAAGCAATGTGGTACCAGTTAGAATGGTTCTAAAGAAAAAGTATCTCAATTAGAAGAGTTGGCCAAAAGGACAGTTGGACATGTCCGGGCACAAGAGAGGTCACATTTGAAATACAATTAGCAACAATTCTAGAGCTACAATGAGCACCCCTACAGGGCAAGAGTTGTATCTGAGGGGAGATGACTGGACTCTGCACCAAAGCAAGGTTTAACAAAAAAAGTAAAAAGCATGACATGACTAAATTTTTTTTGGTCTTTTTGAGACAGGGTCTCCCTGTAGCCCAGCTGGCCTAGAACTTGTTATTGAGACTAGGTAGGACTCAAACTCACAGAGATCTGCCTGCCTCCACCTCCCTAGTGCTGGGATTAAAGGCGTGTGCCACCACGCCCGGTGACATGACTAATTATTTTTATTATTATTTTTTGGTCTTTTTGAGACAGGGTCTCCCCGTAGCCCTAACTGTCCTGGAACTCAATATGTAGACCAGGCTGGCCTTGAACGCACAGAAATCTGCCTGCCTCTGCCTCTGGAGTGCTGGGATTAAAGGCATGCGCCACCACACCCGGCTATGACTAATTATTAAGCCATTAATATTTTGAGGACACAAACAGATCCAGAGAGATAAAATTAAAACAAATGACTATGTGTGATGATGCATACCTTTAATCCCAGCACTTGGGAGGCAAAGGCAGGCAGATGTTTTTGAGTTCAATCAGGCCAGCCTGGTCTACATAATGAGTTCCAGGCCAGCTACATAGATCCTGTCTCCAAAAACTGGGTAGGCATAGACAGGTGGATCGCTGGGAGTTCAAGGCCAGCCCGATCTACATAGTGAGTTCCAGGCCAGCTGGGGCTACAGGGAGACCCTGTCTCAAAAAGACAAAAATAAATAAATATAAATATAAAAAATAAATAAAAACGGGCTGGAGAGATGGCTCAGCAGTTAACAACACTGGCTGTTCTTGCAGAAGACCCAGGTTCGAATCCCAGCACCCACATGGCAGCTAACAAGTGTCCGTAACTCCAGTTCCAGGGGATCCAACAGCCTCTTCTGTCCTCCATGGGCACTGCACAACACGGGTGCGCTTACCTACATGCAGGCATTACATGCACCCACATAAGATAAAATAATTAAAAACAACAACAAAAAAACCAGCCAGGTGTGGTGGTGCACGCCTTTAATCCCAGCACTTGGGAGGCAGAGGCAGGCAGATCTCTGTGAGTTCAAGGCCAGCCTGGTCTACATAGTGAGTTCCAGGACAGCTGGGGCTACCAAAAACAATAACAACAAAACAAAACAAAACGCTGAGAGGAAAAGTATCAGCTGAAAAAGACCGACAGTGCTGTATCATCTTCCTTATCCATGATGTATGACAAACAAAACGTGAACAAGAACATGTGCATCAACTCCAGGGTAAGCATGTGGTGCCTGCTTGGCAAGGACAGGCAGGCATGGGTAGCAACATGACTTTAGCTGCTCTAGTTTACTTTTAAGATTTAATTAAGGCTCACTCTTTACAGTTTATACAGTAAAAACCGTGCTTCTGCTGTGCAGTTCTCTTGGCTGCTGTAGAATACACATAGGAATGTGACAATTCCTGAAATTAAGACTGAAGGGTACTAACCCCATCTAGTCCTTCTGAATGAGCTTTCCATACCCACTCCTTGGCACTTGGCAATTGCTGGTGAACCTGTAGCCACTGCCACTTTGCTGTTTCCAGAATGTCTAGAGCATGGAGGCGTTCCCTAAGCAGCCTTTCAGTATGGTTTCCACTGTGATCCACCACGTTGTTGAGAACATCATAGCACATTTCCTTTTACTGCTGTCGCACCTCCACTGTGGGCTCACCCACTGACAGGCTGAAGAACAGTTGTTTTCCCAGTACTAGCAGAGAGATACTGCAGTTCATAAAAAAAAACAACTAAACATTTATGGCCAACTGATTTTTGGCAAGGGAATCAAGATTATTCAATGGGGCGGGGGGAACAGTCTTCAACAAATGGTGTAGGGACAACTGAAAGTTCACATGAAAAAGGGCCACAACAAAATGAATTAAAAAGTGAATCAAAAACTTGAATTTAACAATTGAAACTTTTTTTTTTCTGTCTTTTGAGATAGTCTCCTTGCCCCAGCTGGTCTGGAACTCACTACGTAGACCAGGCCTGCCTCTGCCCCAAAGTGCTAGGATTGAAGGTGTGTGCTACCACTCTGGCGAAACTATGAAATTCTTAGAAGACAATTTTGGAGAAATTACCATGGCAAAAGATTTAAAGATGGCACTAAAAATCACAAGCAATAAAATAAAAACATGTCAAGGTTGGGCTTCATCAAAATTAAAAATTTTGTGCTTCAAAGGATAGGATTAAGAAAATACAAAAGATGGTGGCAGAATGAGGCACGTCCCAGGCAGCATGGCCCCATTGGTAGAGCTGTATTGGGCTGCCATCCACACCCCACTTGCCCACCCACACATCCTCATGGCACCCATGGTCAGCCAAATATCACCCAACAGTTTTCAAGACCTGATTACAGTCCTCAACATTAGGAATCTGAGAAGTTTATAGATTTCAGAAAATAAAATAGAAGACACTGGTGTAAAGCGGTCATGTGAAGTTGTGAAACTTCCCAACTGCCACTCACAGAACATTAGATTGGAGGCCTATGAGCTAATTACTGGCTGCTGTGAGGAGGTAGCATCTCTTTTACCCATAGTAAAACCCAGTGGGGAATCAATCTGCTGGAGAATGCCTTGTTATACAGTGGGGTCACTGTACTGAGGCCTGGAAACAGCTGAAGTGTAACCTGCATGCAAGGGCTACAAACAATTAACTTTGAAGAGGGAAACCAAGAATCCCCAACTGCTGAGAAGAGAAATCCCTACCTGACATTTCTTCTTTTTTTTTGGTCTTTTTTGAAACAGGGTCCCCCTGTAGCCCCAGCTGGCCTGGAACTCATTATGTAGACCACGCTGGCCTTGAACTCAGAGAGATCCGCCTGCCTCTGCCTCCTGAGTGGTGGGATTAAAGGCGTGCGCCACCATGCCCAGCTTTTTTTTTTTAAATAATTTACTGAGAATTTCATAAGGTGTTTTGATCAAATCCATGCCCACTCCCTCCCGTCCAACTCCTCCCATATCTCCCCATCACTTTTTTCTGATAACTTCATGCACTCTTTCTTCTTCGATTTATTTATTTATTTTTATGGGGCTTTTGGCTACTCTAACATTCCCCCCTCTGAAGAGGTAACCCTAAAATCTTTTAAGGATTAGCTAAAAGCTCCCAAATATTTTCGACATTTTTAGCCTTTGGAACAACACAGTATGTTGCTAAAAGGCCCAAGGACATTTTGAGTTTTAGCCAAGAAACTGGCTACTTTTCTTTGGGGTCTTTCTACCCTAACTGACTAGCCAATTCCTACCTCCTATTCCTATCACACCATCCTCTGAAGGGGTTACCCAAATTGCCAATATAGGGAATAGGGACGCAGACCACTCTGGCGTCTTCCATGCTGAACAGGGACCCAGGGTGAGGCAATTGGGGTACCCCCTTCAGTAGGTCTATCTAAAAGACTCCCAAATTGCATAACTCTTATCTCTAGGGGGAGAAGAAAGTCCTTGAATTGTGAATAGGAGATGTGAAGGAGAAGTAAAGGCAGGAGCAATTACCATTACAAGTTCTAGACAAGGAACTAGAAAAGTCAGAATGCGACAATTTTCAAATGTTCATATTGAAATCCATTGGAATTTCGTGATAAGGGCTTCCAAAAGCATCCCTCTATCTCTATTGGGTTCCTCCTCATTTTTCTTTTTTCTGCCAAGACTGGACTCTAGAGTGATGGATTCAGGATTTGCTTGTAGGTATTTTGATGGTTGTTGGAGTGGTTAGAATCATTGTCAGTTCCCTCTAAAGGCTTCTAGATAGGGGGAGAAAACAAATTTATCCATCATTTTAAAACAATAGTGGGTTGTCTCCCTTAGCTACAGGTGGGCACTACAGTATTGCAGGCCAAGATCTGAAGTCT